ATTAAAAATTAAAATAATTATTTTTTTTAAATAAAAATTAATAAAAATTATATAAGTTATTATTTTTATAACTGAAACCTTATGTCCTTATAACCAAAACCTAGCTTAAGTTATATCCTCAGTTATGTCCTTATTAAATAGTTTAGGGACCCATTTTTAGTGATAGGTACTTATTTGGATAGTTATAAAACTATTACATAGTGATAAAAGCTAGGGTATGGACCCATCTACTCAGTATAAGTTGGTATTCTGGTAAAAAGGACGAGTAGCAGAAGTTAATATTAGCAATAGTTAATAGACTGTTCATGTATAGATAGTTGTGATTCTAATCGATTAACAATAAAATCCATATGTGTATTGCAACTTAGCCCTTAAAAAAAAAAAAAAAACAATATAAATTCTTTTGAAAAACTATAATATTAAAAATATAAAATATAATATTTTTGGTTTTTAATGAAAATTATTTAAATATAATTAATATCAATATTATTATTTTTGAAATAATAGCATAAAAAAAATTACAAAAAATAATAATGTGTTATTGAAATTTTTATAATATTTTGAAGAATAAAAAAGATCTTAGTATAATGATCTAAATTTTTATTAAAGTTTGATTAAAACAAGATATTTTTATAAAACAGTTAATATTTGCTATATTAATATATTAAATTATTCTTGATTCCAATAATAAAAGAACTCAAATAATGAATATATAATAAAAAACAAAATATAAAAATAAAGTAAGTTATAAATAAAAATTTTTGAAAATTTGTAAAAAAACAATTAACAAATATATATACTGTATATATAAAATAAAAAATAAAAAGTTATATAAAAAGCTTTTTTGAAAGCAATAGTCAAAAAAAGAATTTGAAAGTGATAAACATTCAAGATACTTTAGAAAAATATAAAAATTATAAAATTATAAAAAACCAACTGACAAATGTATTTTTTAAATAAAAGAAGTTTAGCAATATATAAAGATATTAAATTAAATAAATAAAAAACATAAAATTTAATTTAATCTAATAAAATAAATTAATTTTTGCATATATAATATTAAAAGTAATTAAAAAATTCAAAAATTTCAAAGTTTTTATAAAATCTCACATTTGAAGACTTTAACAATAATGAAAAATCTTCAAAAATATTTACATAAAAAATTTTCTGATTTACTTCATATTGTTAATGTAATAATATTAATAAACAAAGTTTAATAAATATAATTTTTTTTTAATAATAAAAAATATTTGAATCATATTCTTTTATTTCAAAATATTCATGTTATATATACTTTCAATAAAGAATTATAACTTGAATATACAAATGGTTGATTTATTTAATATATATTTTTCAAATTTTTGAATCAAAAAGTTTCTCTAAACAAGTCTAATAAATTCTTCATAGTTAACTAGGTCTCGATTACTTCATAATGTTGTACAAGTTCCAAGCTTAAAATTATGTTTTAATGCTCAACATCATCAAGTGAAAAAATAATAAGCAATGAAAGTTAATGTTTAAGTATAAATGTAACATGACATGAATAAATACCAATAATATATTCATTCACAATGACCGTCATTCTCGTCGGGTAAGTCAACATGGTAACTAGCAGTATCCTGCTGTAGGAATTCATTAATTTCTTGAACTTATAAAAACCATCACTGACATGGTTTGTTAGGTTAGATTTCGGCCTCTTCGTAGGCTTTAAATCTTTTCAAAGATGGACCAGTTTCTATTTTCTGAATGTTCGTGTGAACATTGTTGTCATCCTTACTTTGAAACCACGATGCTATAGATTTGAAATAATTAATCCGCGTGTGAAAGTACATATATAAACCTCAAAATAATGTAACCTCTTACTTGGAGAATGTATGAAATCTTCAGATACCTCCCTTGTTTCTTCGACATCGAAATAAGAGTGTTTTTTCAAATTCCTAGAAACAAATTCGTCCTCACCCATTTTGTCCATTAATCCATCATTCAGCGTTTGAATTGTGCTTTTGTCTTGCTCAGTGTTTATCAAATTCATATTTGATTTCGAAACCTTGAATTTACCAGAGAGCGGGAAAGCTAATTAAATTTTCTAATTGCACATTTTATTTACATACTGTATATACGTCTATACCTTCGATTTACCATGCCCATCAACTTGATTCAGATATTCACCATGCAGTGTAAATAAGAGTGCATTGTATAAATATATTTCATGTGCCTAACGTAAGTTTGTACCTCGAACATAATTCTCCAAGGGTGGCGATTCAGATGCATAAATTGATCTGTCTTGTGTTGATTTAGTTTCCGTTTCCCTTTGTTTCGCGTGAATTCTTTTATAAAACTAACAAATGCTAATCTTTTTCAATAAAAAAAAACAAAAAATTTTATCATAAACTGAAAGGGCTTACGTTTTCAATAGCATTTTTTCTCAATACAAACTGATCTGCTATGTTTCGGTCGGCATTATTGTCTTTTAAGTATTTATATACTCTAGAGTGATGCTCTTTGGTCACAAGATGTTCGAAAATATGCATACTGAAAGATTTTTTAAGCAATTAGTATATTAGAACTTAATGAACTACATTGGAATTTCTGCAATTTATTGCCTACCAAACAATTTGTCTTTCGTCGGCTGGTTGAAGGAACGGTTTCACCTCATTCTCGCAAAAGATACACCAAAAATCGGGTTGCTTATTTATGTTATGAACAAAGGTGACATCTTTTAGGAAAATTTTGTATTTTTGGTATTCCTGAAAATATATATAATTTAGTGCGTTTTACTTCAATTCAAAAAAAAAAAAATAGCACAACTTACTTTCTTTTGAGTCTCAAGCTTTTTCTGCAAACGTTCTTGATGAAGTTTGGTGTACAGGTGCCTTCTACCTTCACAGGTATTACGTTTGCAAATCGCGCAAAATGAGTATGAAGACATTCTTTTTAAAAAACATTAAATCGTTGTACGTATTTGACCATCAGTTCATCAGCCAATCATGAGGCATGCCTACGTATATATTGAGGCTTATCCCATCTTTTTTTCTTTTTACATTTTTTGCCTTATAATGGAACAGACTTCCCCTCAGTTGGTTTCTCTCCTTCATGGAAAGCTTGGCTCCTTAGTAGGCAAGTCCTCAGGTTACGTTGAGAATCTGCCTGAAGACGTGAAACGTCGGATCCATGGCTTAAAATGTTATCAATCTGAACACGCTAAATTGGAAGCTAAATTTCAAGAGGAGATCTTGGCCCTTGAAAAAAAATACCTCGAGCTATATAAGCCGTTATATGAGAAACGATCAAAAATTATCCGTGGGGATGTTGAACCATCAGATGAGGAAATCGCGACTGGTGCTGCACTTGAGGAGGCGGAAAAGAAGGAAGACGAGGAGAAACCAGCTCGAGAGGAAAAAGTACAGGAGATCGTCGTAGGACCAGTTAAAGGTATTCCGGAATTTTGGCTCACCGCCATGAAGAATCTGGTGACCATCGCAGAAATCATTACTGAACGTGACGAGGAAGCATTGAAACATTTAATTGACATACGCATGTCGTATCTCCAAAAACCTGGTTTTCGACTTGAGTTCGAATTTGAGGAGAATCGATTCTTCGAGAATAAAATCTTGATAAAAACTTATTATTATCAGGAGGAACCAGGTTATGGTGGCGATTTTGTCTATGATCATGCCGAAGGTACACAAATCCAGTGGAAAGATAACCAAAATCTCACTGTGACAATAAAAACAAAGAAGCAAACGCACAAGAGTATGTGTTGAACGCTTTTTCTCTATTTTCGCCCATTTTTCTTGCTTACATAGTACTATTGTAGGCACAAAGGAGACTCGTTATGTGAAGTCTGAAGTAGCTACCGAATCGTTCTTCCAATTCTTCGATCCTCCGGCGGATCCAGATGGCAATGATGATGATGACAATAATTTAGATGAACGTCTTGAAATGGATTACCAAATCGGTGAAGATATCAAAGAGAAATTGATTCCCCGTGCAATCGACTGGTATACTGGTAAGGCGTTGAAGTATGAGGATATCCTTGAAGATTATGAAGATGACGGTTTCTACCTTGGCGAAGACGATGAAGAAGAAGAAGACGACGAAGAAGATGGTGATGACAATGAAGAAAACGAAGGAGTAAGTAAATGTTTTAAGACATCTCTCGTGATATTGTGAACTTTTATTTTTACACTCTGCCAAACATTTGTGGTGATCCTTTTAGTAAGTATTTGAACACCTCAATTAAGGGTGTCTAGTTGAGGAAATATTAGCACCACGAACATGTAGGTCCGGGTTGTTGCATTGGAAGTCAAGATGATTTATTATAGAAAGTGCAGATGTTGGATTATTACTTTTCGTACTTTCACTAGACAATATGCTTATTGATTGATCTATGAAGGTTTCTCGACCGCCGAACGCGTTTTTCCACTCTTTTTAATGTTGTTAGATTAATATTTTTTGCTCATGTAAAATTCATTCAAATTTACAATAAATTTATCTATCTATATATTTATTCTTTCAGACCTACGGAAAAAATGAGAAGGTAAATATCGCATCACTTTTAATTTGTTTGGTCGAGGTTCCGCAACTTTTTGTTCATCAATTTAAATATTCCCTTACAGCAGGAATGCAAGCAACAATGAAAACAAAAATTAACGCCATAACCCATTAATAGTTATCACCAAGACTTCACTATTCACAATTCCATTTTTTCTCCTTTCATTCAAAACTTCTATATCCCACTTGCCACTCTTCTGAATTTCTTTGCCTTTATAGATGATTGGGTATTAATCCACATTTTAAACCTTAGTATCATTAATAATAACTCATGCCTTTGAGGGTAGTGTAATAGCTTTCATAGGTTTAATAATCTATTATTTCGTCATGATAAAATATAAATTTTAAATGTTTTAATATCAAGTTGTTTTCTACTGTCTTTGTTAAAAATTGTTTCTCAATTGATTTCCAAGTTAATTCCTATGAGCCTATCATTCTAAAGAACACATGATCAATGATCTTTATCGGTTAAAGTCATTCCTTTCGACTGCTTCCATGCCCTCTTCAAAACGTGAAAACCTTCAATGCTTTCCATCGTGAAACCTTTTCGCTTGAAAAAGCCTTTATCGACTGTAACAATAACACACAGGTCATGATTCTTCCACCTTCCAAAATCCCGTGCCCACTTATATATGTTAAATTGAACAACGGTAAAGGTTACAATAAGCCCGTGGATACATCAATATACTTAGCACAATATTTTAACATGGCTCACCCAAAGATCCATTGATCCGGCACCCCTTCAGTAAAAATATATTACTAGTACACAAGAAAGCTGTATCAAAAAGAAGAGAGAATAATATAAAGGGCGACTCACCATCTTTGGTATGACACATTAGTTTCCTTGTCCGTTTGAACATTTGTTATGCTATTCATTGGAATAGCTTTATCTCTGCCATCAGGAATGTAATAATTGAAAATGTACAAATAGGTCTTTGTTACGGCTACGAATTGATCTATGTACAAGGTGGGTTCTTCATCTTGCCGACGCCACTTTACCTTTCCGCCGGTTTGAGTATCGGTAGTATCTGGAGGGATAGGAAGTTCTTCGTTGTTTGTCAAACCTTCTGGGGAGGCGGCATTTATATTAGGAGGTTGAACAACGTCAGAGAGATCAGCATGACTAGCATGTTGGCTATTTGAACTGTCTAGCGGAGGCGAGATTACGGGTTGGGTTGTCGATTCCGTGTCATGTTCCGGAGAGTCAAGAGACATGTTGAAAAAACTTCGTGCATGTTCGTGATATGATCAAATGAAAACCGCTAATCATATCACGGGAGGACCCCGTGAACCGTTAGACTTATTAAGAGTATCGATTTTAATATTCAGAATAATAATAATACACTTTAAAACAAAAAAAAAAAAAAAACCAAGAATAATTAAGACTTCCTTATAAACACATGAAAGACACTGAGATATTATCTGAAGAACCTGTTTTAGGCGCCCGGCTTCCAAACTTTGAGAACAAGCACAAAAATTCAATGTCTAACGGCGGTCTCTGCGAGACTCACACCGAGGAGCTAAACGGATTCGAGAACAGCTCTAATAGTAATTATGAGGATCAAGATCATGTTGCAGAGCAAATAATCACTCCAAATCACATAATTGACAACTACGATGGGACTAGCAATGTGACTAAAAGGCTTTCTGGCTGGTTTAGCTCTCTTTGGAGCCCTGCTAATGGGGATGTGGCTGAAAAAGATCCAATAATTGAGGAATGTGGTGCGGAAAGTGGCGTAGAACCTGTTGACCTATCGACTAAAGACGATTCGATTTGGTTGTTGGGTGTTCGATACAAGATCAAAAAGGATCATACGTCAAATGAATCTGATGAACCATCAAATTATTACACAACACCGGGAAGTTTTCCCCACCTTTCGATGCAACAACAGACATTAACACAATCTGACTATCCCGAAGAATTTTACCAGGATTTTATTTCAAGAATATGGTGTACATATAGAAGCAAGTATGCCGCGATCAAACCGACGAATTTCACAAGTGATGCGGGTTGGGGATGCATGTTGAGATCAGGGCAATCATTGCTCGCCAATTCACTGATATTACAATTTCTGGGTCGAGGTTGGTTTTAGTGTTCGAGAATTGATTTTAAACGTGTTCGATAACCTTCGTTGAACACCTTACAATTTAGACTGGCGAAGGGTTCACAAGGGGGATGACACCTGGGATAAATATGTAAAGGTGATTTTCAACATTTACAACGACCTCGCGACACGATTTTTACACTGTATACATATAATTAATCAAAATTTTCAATCTTAGATCCTTACATGGTTTATAGACGATATGTCATCTCAATGTCCATTTTCTGTTCACCGTATGGCACTCTTAGGGAAGCAATTAGGAAAAAATATTGGTGAATGGTTCGGACCTTCAACTGCCTCTCAGACCATCAAGTACGTAATTACGGATGTTCTCAGTGATCCTCTGGCGTTTACGGTCAAAGAGAATTCTTTTCAATATAAAAATCATTGATTTTATCACCGAACCGTATTTTATATAGGGCTCTTGTGGAAGACTTTCCATCCGCTCAATTAAGCGTTTATGTAACAACGGACACCGTAGTTTACAAAAACGACATTTACAAGGGAGAGAAAGGAAACTTTAAGTCAGTCTTAATTCTTGTGGCTATTCGGTTAGGAATAGACAATATAAATCCAATATATTATGATGCTCTCAAAGTACCTTTCTCATCTCTATATATTTCTCAAAGTTATGTGATGACGATTTCACATATTTTCCTACTAATTCTTCTTCCGACATATTAGGCCTGTTTCAAATTTCCACAGAGTGTTGGAATAGCGGGGTACGTAAGATGAAGTTATTAGGGAATTATCTGAAAGGCTGGCTAATTGATCATCTGTTCGAATTCCAAATTAAATTAGAGGCAAGCCTTCATCATCATATTATTTTATTGGAACACAAGGTTGGTCGGTTAATCATTTTTTATTATCAATAGAGAGAGATTCAAAGTTCCCGAGTTGATGTACGGATTCGAGCTTGTAATAACGAATTATTATTATATTGCTTAGCCGATGATTTGTTTTATCTTGATCCACATCATTCACGGCCCGCAATAGAGTTGAAAGATGCAGACGAACTTTCTGAAGAAGTAGTGCACACTTTTTTTTTTTTTTTGGTACGTTCTAAGATTCATAATTCTTTATACTAAAACATGTTTTGACAACAGGAATTATCAACCTATCACTGTGACACGTTGCGTAAGATACACATTTCACAACTGGATCCTTCTATGCTCCTGGGTTTTTATTGTAAAACGAGTGATGATTTTGATGATTTATGTGTACGAGTAGAGGAGGTCAGGAGGAACACTATTCTTTATGTTTTCTTCTATTTTGATTCGTGTAGATGTTAACATTTTACGAATTTCCAGGTCAACAAGAAGTATAAACCAGTGTTTACAATTGCTCAAGAGGCACCAATTTATAAAGATGAAGACTACGATATGGATGTGTTTTCCGAAGATGACGAGTTTGAAAAATTTGAGAATGATAGCGCAGTGCAGGAAGACGATGTGGATGATATCGATTGAAACCTCGTTAAAGTTGAGAGTTAATTTTCTTAGTTCTCTGATTTTTAGCCAGATAACTGGTGATTAGACATTGGTATTCAAAGTATTTGACATCTTTACCTCAAATTGTATGAATATTGTTTCTTTTTTTGACTTAGTCAGTCTTGTCACTCGTTGTACAACACTTTATACTTTATTTTTCATTATTTGTATCCATTTAGCAGCAAAATTATTACTATATGGGTCTAACTTGAATTTAATAAATTTATTTTGATACCTTTGTTTGCATGGCAGATGCTCTTCTGCATAATGATTTTCAAAAAGTATTTTGTAATTATACAAATGTGAATTGTGACCAGAAAAAAAATTAATCTTGCTTGATTTTTGAAAGGTATCGTATGCTTTATCTGAAGAATTTTCGAGATTAATGATGCCAGTGAAAAAATTTATGGAACTTCATCCAAATGTTAATTAATTCTATTGTTTCTATTGTACATAATCTGCTGAATACATCTACGCGACTTCGTATCCAAAACTTCACCATAAGCGGGACAGGCAATAAAACAATAAAGTTAAAATAAAAAATAAAGTACAATTATCAATGTAACAAACATCTCAAGTTTAAATACATATGCATTTTATCACGTGGTTCCAAACATATTATATAAGTGCCAACGTAAATCTGAGTATTCCTTGGATCCAAGTAGAAATGGGCGAATCTCCTCATTCAATTCCAACATTCAATTCATTGAGCACATCTTCAACATCTTCAAATTCATCGCTTTTGAATCAAGCTCCTATAAGCACAAGCCTACCGTCTTTCTCTTCTTCGGTCTCTACTTATGTAGGTCCAGTTGCTCAATCAAATGGATCCACTTCAAATGCTCAAACATCAATGGAAGGCAATGGAACCTTTCCATTATCTCCATCATCCCAACAACGTCAGATGACCCAAGCTTCGCAAATTTTCTCTCCTCATCGTACTCCTCTTTCGTTATCAGGACGAAGTGTACTTGCCTCTCCAAACCCTTCTGTTGCTTCTATCATGAATACTGCTCCTCCGACTTCATTAATACCGCCAATTCCACACATGGAACGATCAAACTCCACTTCTACTCTCTACTCTACCTCATCTGGACCCCTGCATGAGAAATCGATGTCCACTGGTTCAATTGCAACGAATTCGAGTTCTAACATGCCACCATATAAACATGATATTCTAAAAGATCCGGAAAGATATGAACATGATAAATGGAGCACGATAGTTGTGAAAGTTTTACCCCTATTCAATGGTGAAGGATTAAAAGCATGTATTGAGGATTTGAACGAATTGGTAAGGTAAAAAATGAAAAATTATTTTGTCATATTCCAATGGATGCTTTTAAATTATTTCTATTGCACAGCATCTTACGATATTTTCGATTTAACAGAAATTGCATAAAGGATCGTTCACAAAAATCATTATACGATGATATAAATTCCCTGTTGTTAAATGGGATGTCAACGTTAAACGGAAAACTACGAGGAGTTCCTGATGAAAAGCTTGTTTCACGCCTGGTCGAATTATGGTCCTTTTACCTTGGAACAGTGATACCTTATTTTGAAGGTGTTTTCCTTCCATTGCAAGTGCAAACGACGGCACAGCATCGCGATCATATGAGCGTTAGGCGTCTAGTGTTGATGAGTTTTAGAGATCATGTAATATTACCAATGGGAGACCGAGTAGAAGGTACCGAAGGAGTATTCCAAATTGCCTATCATATATATTTATCTCTAACGAATATTTGATTATATAATAGATGCATTTAACAAGCTCTTCCACGATTTTGATTCGGGAATTCCTGTGACCGATACTGCAGCTCGCATGTTGCAAATGTCTTATATTTTATCATCGATTCTTTCTGATGATGACAAGCAAAAGGATATGGATAGAATTTTAGGAAAATTAAAAAATAACTGGAAGTTGTTTATGAGGCGTAGAGATCGAAGAGGTTTTGTAGGCATGTCGCCTTCAAACTCCAACTCATCAACTATGCAACAAACGACGGAGATAACCACTCCCCTGATGGAAATTAATAGCAACTTTTCTACTACACCAACTACAATTTCAAATTCTAATTCTACGATGAACGGAATTTCGGCGACAATGAGTCCTGTATTATAATCGTATATTTGAAGGATGAATTTATCTATTCGCCATGACTTTTTGACGAAAATCCAGGTTGATCCTCCACCAATTAAATCAGACATTTGTATACATATAATAATAGACTTTTTACTCAAAATATCATTACCAGAAATGACTAGCATTGAGATTTGCGAATGCTGAAGTTTCACGGAAGTCGGAACTTCAAGCTTTAAAAGCTCGAGGAACGATTGTCACAATAAATTTATTTGAATATTCCAATAGCTTTGAAGAGATTAATTATTATATTAATGAAAGATTTAAACACCAAAAAGAACATACTGTAAATCTATGGATAATCACTTTTTCTATTCTTGATCAGGTACCTGTAATTCTATCTATTGTGAGCTAAAAAATAGACTTATAAATATCTATGATTCTATATGCAATTAATTGAATGTTTTAGTTGATGATCAATAAACAAATAAATTCTTATTATAATAATATTTGTTGGTATCAAATCTACTGTATTTAATCTATACACTTTCTTATTATTTCAGTAAAAATCAAAAAAAAACTATTAATCACAAGTAATAAAAAAATATTTTCAAAAAAACCATTATTATAAGAAACTTGTTGCCTTTATTAAAAAAAATCAATTAAACAAGAAAGAAGAGATGGGTGATTTATTTTATTTTTCATCTATTTTCTATATATTTTATGGTTTTAAAAATTGAAATTATATAAACCTATATAAACTTTCATATAATAAAAATAAAATTAAACAAAAAAAAAAACAAATCCAAAATTTAAAATATATATATATATTGTATTTGGTGATACTTAAAATTATTTGAACAAAAGATTTTTTATTACATTAAAATCGAAACAAGTAAAAAAATTGAAATATAGATGGATATTAAAAATAAATATCATAATATTTTGGCTTTATAAAATTTTTAACAATCCATTTCATGTTACAATGAAATTCTAATCTAAAAGAATTGTAGAAGTGATCTTAGGAATATTTAATAAAAGTCTTGGATAATTGAAAGAAATGGTTATCAATTTTGATTAATTTTATTTAAAACCAAAAATTTGTAATTTCAATAAATCATCTTTATCAAGTGTAATTTTTTTAATTTAAATTATTTATAACTATAATTTTTATTTGATGATTTTATAAAATTCTATTGATATTATTAACTGAAAATTATTACTATGACTATTATAAATATTATAAAATCATAAATAATTATTTTTGTTCATCAATTTTGATCACTACTGGTATTGTCATTCTTTATTTTTCTTTTATAATTTTTTATGATTTATATATAAAGTAATAATAACTTTTGAATAAAAGGATCAACAATAATTTTTCATTTAGTCATGTAATTTAACTTTTTTTGCTTTTATATGATAATAATAATAATCATGATTTAATATAACTTTATCATCTTTTTTAATATTTCAATTTTCTTTAAAAAGACATTGCCCTTGATCATGGTTGAAATCCTGTCATTATGTATAATTTATTTCAAAACATGTAATCTGTTCTTATTGGAAAATAGCCTCAAGTTTTATTTTATCAAAATATACATTCTCAACGGTCCGTGATCATACTCTAACGTATTCAATACATTAAGTTTATTGTAAATCTTTCCTCATGGCATAGGCATCTTCGCCATCCGCATAATATTTCTTCTCAACCTCATGAATCCTGTTAAATGAAAAGAAACGTCAATTAAAATTTACCAAAAAAAAACACTTTCAAACGGAATCATTACCTAAATTTTAGGGTATCTTTGTACAATTGTAGCGCCGCGCGGTTGCTTTTACGGACATGCAACGAAACATATTTTGCGTTGAACACCTCGACCATATTTTTTTCTAATGTTCGTGGGAAAATCATAATTCAATAGGGTAGATTATTAAAGAATTGCTCTTGTATCAACAAGTATATTGACTAACGGCAATCTAGCTTCAATTTCTAGATCGTTGATACATACGAGCCTGCGTCATCAATTTTTCCGCAATGCCCAACCTACGGTATGTTCTCATGACTGAGAGGGACGTTATGTGACCATGTGGCGGTTCTTCTTCACGATCCTCCTCCCTAAATAATATTGAACGCAGAAAATTAGGACGTTATCATGACATGATCTTCTTTTTGGAAAACAAATATATATATATAATTTGTCGGCTTACATTTTAGCTAATACATAACCAACGATTCTACCTTTATGGTCTTCAGCCACAAAAGACAACTGTGGCCATGATAACGCATGATAAAAATCTTGTGAAATTAAAAATCAATTTTCAAGATATATGAAGGGTGTGTTTATTAATGAATGAATAGTTTATGATACAAATTAGAATCGCTAGTGCACTAGGCACCGATTAAAGATTCGGTTCTACTAACAATATTTCATTTGATAATTTTCTGGAAGGTTCATTATGTTACAATTTTGCATCGCCAATAGGTCGTCGGTCTAAAAATAGATATCAAATGTTGAGCTTTCTGTTTGCATTTGAAAGGAATCATAATAATTTCGTAGATATGTGGAATTTTGAAATCCATGACAGTTTATTAGTTTCGTGAAAAAACAAAGTCATCGAATGATCGTAACAGGCTAAAATAAGGATTTGATTTGAAATGGAATTATTTTCGTCATACCGTTGCCTGTCTAATATTCATCTTTATATGAGGGTAAAATTTAAGACCACAGTCTGTTCTTGTTCTCCCAAAAACGTTGATTATGTGCGTTACGTGATCATCAATTTGTTTTTGTTTCAATGTACCAAATAACCAATCAATGAGAATCACCTATTGTAGTAATTTATTTAAATGCCGAATTACGGAATTCAAAGGAATTTCTTCTATAAATCCCTTTTACAATCTTTTTTCAAAGAAGTCATCTTTGCTTTCCCTGCTCTTTTTAATACATATTAAAGTCTAAACTCCTACTTTAACAAAATGGTGAGAGCATATTTTACTTATGTACTAATACGAGAGTGAGATGTTCTAATTCATTTTACTCATCAAAATTTTATTTTTTTTGCCAGTCCGGAACTACAAACCCAGTTATTCGAAAGAGAAACTTACAATACGCTTCAAACATTCACAACCGCGGCAGTGTTAAGCCTACTCTGGTACTTATTATTTACTAAAGAGATTAGCCTCACAATTCTAAAGCTTTACTAATTTTCGCTTTCGTCTAAAATTACAGCGAAAAGAGAAGGGAAATACTATACCAATTGGATACGTCACATTGGGAATTGTCCTTTTCGCAGTTATTGGTTCCGCCATTTTTGAAATTTTTAATTTCATTTAGATTCCATTTGAACTTAATGCAGTTGTTTTAGAGCACACAGTATCTACGTCATGCTCAATCCTTCTGCCCTAATAATGTAGAGTAGATAATTATCATAGATCTCGTCTATTTTCTGTCACTATTTTTAATCATGTATTGCATTCAGACGGCTTATTAGTATCACTTTTATATTGTGATATTTGAATAAGTTTAGTTAATAAATAATTTTCAACAAGTAAAATAAAAGTTTCATTTGATTTCGTGCAGTTAATTCATTAATTTGAACGTTAATATTTATGATTAAGGTTGTTTGTGTTAAAGTAATTGTTTTTTTTGATTGACTTAAGTAAAAAAATATTGATGCGTATTTTAATGCACATGTGTGGTTTAACTTAACATTCTGATGTTTATTCCCCTTATGAATCTGAATCACCTGAATCGCCTGATGATTCATAATTTCCCAACAAAGAACCTAACGTATTGCTATTTTCAACAGATGATGGTTTCGTTGTCGAATTAGATGTATCCAGCTTTTTTCTTTTTATCACTATACCAAGATCAGAACCAAGATCCTTTCGTTTCCCTACCGTTGACTTGGATGTTGATGACGACGATGAAGACGTCGTGAATTTAGGCAAATCTAGGGACTTTGCCGATTCAGAAAGTAATTGAGAGAGATCTGGCTCATCATCGTCAATAATCCTTCTAACAGTATCTCCATCAATGGTATGGAATATAGATTTGGCCAATATATCATCTTCCTCATTCAACATTTCTTCTTCAGTTTTTTCAACTGTTTTATCGGATTCGACTAATTTATCTAATACGGCGTCCGCATCAACTCGTTCGTTTCGAGCATTTCTTGTTCTAATTTCATCTAATGCATCCAAAATATCCATTTCCCTTTTCGAATCTATTGTACGATTTTCTAATGCTTTCATTGGATTATTCTCTTCCTCTAACTCCTTTTGTAACTT